TCGTCCTCCCCTTCGGGCTCGAAGTCGACGAGCTGCTGTTGGTCCCCCTCCTCTTCCTGGAAGTGGACCTCTTGTTTTTTTTTCTCGATCTTGTTCCCCATGATGGCAACTGCCGTAAGGCAGTGCCACCACCGCACAAAGAACTCAACAAACACACGTAATGCCGCTGACGCCACTATGAGACTGTTGTCTCCAGGTTCGCGTGTGAGCAAGTTCCCTTAGGGATGGGCGGTGTGGATACACACCGGATCAACCTCTGGTGGAGAGGCTGATGTACGGAACGTTGAGTCGAGTCTGTGTGAGTGAGGCAGGTGGGGATCAACCTTGTGTTGAAGCAAGGTTCAGCATCCAACCTGCACTGACTCTATCTGTGGTAACACCCCGAAGGTAGATCTCCGATAGGTCATCTGACGTCACAATCTACGACGGTCTGAGGTGGCATTCACAATGCCCCGAATATTTAAAAGTTTGGTGAGCGCGGGCGATCGACGAAGATTGGAAAAGAAACACTCAACTCAATAACAAATCAATTCAATTCAACTCGGTATGGAGTCTATTTACAGGCATTTTCCTGCTCCATGCTGCTCTTCCTGTACATTGTACCAGCCAGTGTTCGTTTCTATTTCTCGCAGGTCTATCATCTGTGGGGAGTTGTCTTATCCTCTCTGTGATATATGGTAGATGGTGTGTGGCGACGACGGAAGGTATCCGCATCATAAATGGGCACGTAGTGGAGACCGCCCGACATACGAAGTATGTGATGTACATCAGGTCGTATTTTCCAGGTCGTATGTCATCACATGGTAGTTTATGCATAGAAACCCTCGCGAAAGGGCCCCTAAAAAAACTAAAACACAGCGTTGGTTGTCGTGTCGGCCGCTACCAGCAGTACGGCCACCCAAGGAAAACGCCACTACTCTTTGGGCCTGTCCATTTCTCCCATAATTTTTTTCCCCAACGTTGGGTACACCCATTCACCGGCGTGGAAAAAGGCGGATTGGGCCCGGCACTCATACTCATCACGCGGCACGCGTTCGGGTACCATCTCAATCCGAGAATGCCGAAATGTTTTTCGATGCCCCCCGCGTCCCCCACTCGCGGGTGGGGCCGCACCCGTTTCCAACGTGTTCCGGTCGACGTTAGTCTTCGTGCCCACCGACTATCTGGATGGGTCAGGCACGCAAAAATCGCACACTCTGCTCTCGTGCGGGGGCCTGTTGCGTGAGTGAGTCGTGCGTGCCAAATTCCGATTGGTCCTCCGATTGGTACTGTACGCGACTTTGGTGAGGGCAGGACAAAACGACAGAAAACGCCGTGTTTCAATTATTTCGCCCAAGTTTCTCGGTAGCGAAGCTTGACTATCTGTTTGTGCCCCTCAGGTTGGTGATTAAGCATCCAAACATGCACCCAAGTCCTCCGGGCACCCAAGTCCTCCGGGAGCACACCAACCACGCCTTGGTCGGCATTAATTTTTCCAAGCCGACTTCACCTCACGCGGCCCTGGTGCACGCCGTCGCTCAAGGGGCACAAGAGTCGGTTTCGACATGAGTTTGTGTTTTTTTTCCCGTGAGAATCTTTGCCCTCGCACTCTGCATACGCACACCATGGCCCAGATAACGAAAAACAAACGCGGCGACCAGCGCCCTTGGGCAAAACCACTGCTCGATTGGAGTTGTCATTGAGTTGTCACGACTGACCGCCACCAGCAGTACGGTCACCCAAGGAAAACGCCATTACTCTCTGGGGCTGTCCATTTCTCCCATAATTTTTTTTCCCCAATGTTAAGGAGGACCCGATTCGCAGGGTATCAGTCGATTTACCTTTACCTGAATCGGTACACCTTCGCATATGGCGTCAGCGACAGGATACTGGTTCGAATCTCCTTGGGTGCATACTTTTTCTCCTGACTTGGATATTTTCCCATGGACACAATGTGTGTCAGTCCTGAGAACACCTCTTGGAGTCGATCCTAGAAAGAACCTTGCGACACTTCCATCGAATTACCCATCCTGGCCACAAGAGGTCCCCAGTTGAGGGTAAATTCTGTGGGTGGAGAGTGTTAAGGAGGACCCGATTCGCAGGGTATCCGTCGATTGACTTTTACCTGAATCGGTACACCTTGGCTGCTCTTTTTGCATGGGCTGGCATCAAACAACTTGTCCGTGCACAATTCCCCCCACCGCACACCGTTGCTTTCGGGCACATCTACCACACACCGTACCTCGCGAAACTTCGGCCTTCTTCGCTGCAGTCCGTGTTCCAGCTGTTGTTCGCTCTCCGTCGTGCCACCTTTCATGAAGGTCCTCAAGGAACGTCGGTGGTGACCCAGGAGGGAGGACTCCAGCTGCCTCTTGCTCGTGGTGCTTCGACCAACGACTTCAAGCACGATCTACAAGCCCCCCGACAGGCCTCTTCACGCCCTACACATGGTTCTGGAGAAAACAAGGACTTCAGTAGGTCGGCGGCTCCGGTGTCCAAGAGCTGGAGGAACCGTTGGGGCGACCGGGATTCGACGGCCAAGAGCAGGCCGGACGACCACCACCGCTTCACCCAGTCTTCGCGAGGGCGCGGCGTCGGAGATAACAGGCGAGGGCGAACCGTGGGGAACCAGCCTACGAGGTCTTCGCCGGCGAGTCGCCATCGCCGGAGCAGGAGTCGGAGCGCAGAGCGACAACAGCGCACCAATCCTTCGTCTAGGCGTGGGCGCAGCCGGAGCGGAGACCGTCGTGGGAGAAACACGCCTCCGTCTAGGCGTAGCCGTAGCCGGAGCCAGAACCAGAGCGGGGGCAATAGCAGGGCGACCAGCACTGACAGCAGTCGCGGTGGGAAAGGGCGACGGAGGTCAGGCCACGGTAACAGGCAAGTGATGTATGATCGAGGTGATTTTCGTAGCTCTGGGTTGTTGGGGGAAAGCAAGGATGCTTCAGAAGACGGTTCTCTCTGTTCTTCACCGCTTGTTCTACGCCCTCCCGCTGATGTAGGCCAACCGACCAGGTCTTCTTTGGCTTTCAAACTTGCCAACATGCAACTTCGTGAACGTTCAGCCGCTGTGAAAAGCCATGCCCCTGCCCATGCCGTTATGGATCATCCCACATCTTCCTTGCCTTTGAACGAACCTGTTGAGTCACCACGCCATGCTGCATCACACGCCTCGACTTCGGCCTCCCGTACTGAAATGCTGTTGGAACAAGTACTCACTCTCCTGCGAGCAAATCAAGTAGTGGATGCTGCTGCCGACGCGAATGTACAACCTCCTGTGCCCCCCCACGCTCCTAGCGTGCCACCACCTGCCCCATCTTCTTCCCCACCAACGCGTCCGACACCGATGCAAGACCACGCTTCGAGCTTTTCGGGAGCTCCTGTGGGACGCGATGTTCGTGCCGAAACCGCTGCCAGGACCACGCCAGCATCATCGTCATCAGCCACGAGGTCGGCGACAGTACCGGTCGAGCCTGCGGTGGCACAGTCAGCGTCGACAGCCCCAGCCCTGTTGCAACAGCCTTTGGTGGTATCGCCCCCCCCCCTCCAGCGTGCATCTGTTCTGATTGATCCTGACTCTACAACCGGCCACATCGTCGAGCCACCGAGTCAAGCGGCATCACCGTTGCCACAGGACGATGCTGGTTTGCCTTTGTCTTCAACAGGAGCAAGAGCGAGGCAGGAGGCTCTGCACGCTGCGGACGCCGCTGCAGCGGAGGCCGACACCATCCGCATTCAAGACAAGATGGACAAGCTGAAGCCAGAACAACTTGATAGTGTCACACGCTTGCCCCTCGGTCGTGATCCTGATGAATTTGCTCGCTTCGCGGCTAGCTGCAAGGGTGTGGTCACAGAGAGCCTCAACCAAAGCGACGTCAAGAGCAAGCAGACTTTCAATTCCTCCACCTGGGTCACCGGATGGCTTCCGTTGTTGCGCAAACGTGTCCGTGCTGCTGTCGTTGAAGGCCAAACCACCAACCGTGCCACTCTGGAATTTCTTGATGCCACCTTCCTACAGGTAGAAAACCATCTGCGCAAGGAACCGGCAGGGCCCTCGACGTACGCCTTCTTCATCCAGAAATTGGCGGCCGCCTGGGACACTCAAGACAAGAGCTCGGGGATTGATCGTCTTCGCAGTTTTGGCGTATCCAACGGCGAGACTTACGGAGAATACATCCGTCGCTATAAGGCTCTGGCCATGACCGTCATGGTTTCCCACCACGCGTTCAAGCCTTCGGATGCGCAAGTGCAGATAGCTGTTCGAGACTCCATGTTGAAGCAGTTTCCGGTAGTGTCTGGGCAGGTGTACAAGGATGAGCAGCTCTCCATGGAAGCCCCTTTTGGGCGACATGCTTCGTGTCTGGATGATATGTGGGATGTGTGGACAAGCGTGCGTTAGCGCACACGCCGGCGGTACATGGAGATGATTTCTTTTCGGTATCTTCCACGAATGCTAGGAGTTCGTCTGCTGTTTCGCGTGCTGTAGCTTCTTCGGCGTTGCGTTCGACGGTGACCCCTTCGTGGAGCCAAGGTTCTTCGGCCGCCGTGATGAGTGTTGACCCTCTACCTAATGATGATCGGGACCCTTTTCTGTTGCACTACAGCGACTGGCCGTTGCAAGGACACTTCCAAGAGGTGTACAACGTCGCTAGTGAGATGGCTCTAACCAAGAATGATCCGCCATTGTTCACCCCCTTGGTCTCGGCTGAAGAGCGCCGCAACGCGCTTCGACTGTACAAGGGCAAGTGCCTCAACTGCTTGGGAGAAGACCACTCCTTCAAATCCTGTAATCGTGGTTTCATGAACGCCACCGGCCTGCGTAACAATGACATCAAGTTC